ACACCCACGATTGCTGGTGTTGCTCAAATGAACAGCAAAATACTTAATATCTGACAAAAAATGTTACTGTTTCTTCCCCCTATCCCCTCCCCCCGGATCTACAGAGGAAGCATCAACTTACTGAGGCAAGGGGTAGTTACATCTGAGGGAAGTACAAAACAGAAATACATGTAGTTGCATTTTCATCTTCTTCGCTGCTGAATACATAAGCCTTTCCCCCTCCTTTAAAAGAAACAAAATTTGCTCAGTTTTCCAACAGTATTTGTACCATTTTTATTTGTAAAAATAACCATCTGAATGCATTGCAATAGCAGTTTACAGTTAGGGTTCTTCATTACATGAATACAGCATTCAGTAGTTGAAAAAGTTACTAAACTGTGCTTGAGAAGATTCAGGTTGAATTCCAAGTCATTCACTGAATTAAGTCTTTTTCCTCATTTCATGTGTGACATTTGCTCAAGTCCTTAAACTTCAATTTACAAAAGCAAACAATACCGACAAAACCCCACTGAAACCATCAAACAATATTTTATATTGTTTATTACAAATGTTATGCAAAATATAACACTGGCACCAGATTCGTCACCATGGTTTGTAAAGATATATTGCACATGCTAAAGCATAAAATATAAGACAAAACCTACAAAACATAAGATATTGGCTTTAATATGTAGATCACTGCATAAGAAACGCATAAAATTACATTTTATACACACACTCAGATTGTCACTAGTTTAAAACGCCCTTTCCTATAACACTGACCTAAGGTTTACTTTTTGTGTAATAAGAAAGCATTTTCAGCACTGCAAAAATTATACATTATTCCTATAGAAATTTAGCATATTTTCATTTCAATGCAGGTAGAACATATGAAAAGAAGAAACACTTTATACATTCAAAGAAAGTCTGAAATGAAAATTTACTGGTAATATATTGCTTTTATAACACTCAAATGAAAAAAAAAAAAAAAGACGAGTTTCACAAACATTCCCATAATACACAAATATAAAAAGGCACTCTAATATTTCTTACATGACTAAGAATAAAAATCACAAAGTTTTTTAAAATCATCCTCAAGATACATAACCAAGTTTCTCAACAGTACAATGGATAAACAATTCATTTCATGTGTTTGTTCTGGTTCAATAATCCGGCAGTTGTTTACTGCGTGAAAGTACCAAACACATTATGGTGCCCTTTTAGTAGCGATGAACAGAAATCCCCTGAGCTATTTCACAGCAATTTCAGGCAGTCCAGAGGTTGTAACTCAGTATTTATGAGAGAGACTTGGGACCCCATCCTGCTATGGATTCCACCTGCAGCTGTGGTTAAAATACAGGATGAAACGATCCTGCTAACGCACCCGGGCAGACAGCCGCCCCTCCCCAAACACCCTTTGCTTGGTGCAGACACAGATGTCACCCATGTACTGCAAATTGCAGGATCCAGGGTTGAGTGCAACAATCACGTATGATTAACTCTACTCTTGTAAACAAAAGTCCACAGAAAGGCAGGGTGATTATTTACAAGAGTAAAATTATTCTCATGCTTAAACATCTGCCCTAAATTACAAATTTCTTTCTACTTGTGATAAATTATATTACAGATTAACGTACTAGCATACAAAAAAAGGGATTCTGGTAACTCACATGAGATGTGGGATTGGCCAATACTGAGTATTTCCAAGTGTCTTGCTCATGACGATTTTTTCCTCCTAAATATACCATACTCAAAACATGACTTTCCCAGTGCCCTCATGATGCTAACAAATCATGTTTCTATGATTTTTGAATTTGCATACTTACATCATTATTAGTTTGCAGAAAAGTTTAATCAGTAAAGTTTAGATTTGATTCCTAGAAGGATCAATGTAATTCAGTAATCACCTATGCTTCTATAACGTTCTATACATCATTAAGAGGCAGCAGTTGTTGCTCTACACAATTACCAGAGTTACAAGGTATTGCAGAAATATTTTCAGTAACTCTGTATGGTAGCAAGTAAAAATACTGAAATTTTTTAAATGGCTGCTTAAAATAATACAACATCCTCTTTGTAAAGAGGACTGGTTTTCTCCTAACGAAGCAACTTCATGTAGGATAGCGTAACTTCCTGTATCTCATGGTGAGACTTAGAACTAATCCCGCCAAGGAGCCTACCTACATCTCTGGTTAAATTAAGGTTAAAAGGCTGATCCTGCTCTTAGGCAGATGGCAGCCGTTTCCCATTTGTTTATTTGTTTTCAATGCCATCATTCCACATAAAAAAGCAAAATTTGGGATTTCTATTGATTTCTGAGCAGACACCACTGAAAACTTTAACAACTGATCCCTCCTCTTATTTTCAGTGCTTGAAGTAAGGTGGTTATTGCTATTCTGGAACTCTTAAAAGCAAAAACGTTGAGAAAAATCAATCATAAAAATGTTATTCTGTGCTATTTCTGAGGAGAAAACCAGGGTTTCAGGTGCTCTGTCATTCTAGTGCAGAAAATACAGAGCTGAGGGGAAAGAAATGTTCACCTTCAGAGACACTATACTTGTGATTTTTTTGTTGTAAACTTTGGAAATTTGTTAACGTTAAAGGAAACTATTTAATTTTACCTAATGTTCAAGAAACAATATTTAATTTTAGCAAGGCAAAATAAACTTAATATATAAATATTTTTCTTAGTTAAAGAACTGGAATCTGCCAATAGATTTCTTAACAATTCAGTGGAACACAGCTAAAAACTAAAATAAAAATCCTTACTTTTCATTTACCCTGCCGAAAGCGTGCACTGAGGAAGCTCATCTCTTCCTCCCAGCACAGATGTAGGCCTGCAGACAGCCTGAGTGTGAATCACGGGAACTTTAACACTTTGACTCCATGCTGTATTGCCTTTTCCCCTCTTTACTGTAGCTGTACAGTGTTCTCTCATTTGCCTAGCGAGGGGCTGGATCCCTTTCTTATGCTTTTAAGTGGTGGAAGGTGTTTTGCGCTCTGCTTTTTAATAATAAATATAGCCTGTGGACTTTATCTTTGCATTCCATACAAGAAGATGGGCACTCTCCCAAAGTGCCTCAGCCCTTCGTTTTTCTACTCAGGCCATCGGTCTTGCCTAGATTCACATTTCATTTCGCATCACGCCAAATAGTATGCACAAATACTAACTAGGAGAACAAGCCATAGTTATTTTTCCTGGGCATTTGTTTCATTTCAAATAAATATAAACACATTTACATTAAAAGCATATGAACATATTCTTTAGTCTGGAAAAAAAAAAAAACAAACCTGTGGTCAACACATCATCAGTTACAAATGTCAACTTGAAACCTGCGTCATAAAATGTAAAATTCACTCAAGACTACTCATTACCTCAAAAGTTTATATTTTTATGGTTTAGAAAAACTACTTCATTATGTCACTCACATTTGAAGAAAAAATAAAAGTAGCAAAGTCTTCCATTTAATTACTGAAGCATTTGGTCCTCTTGGTACAGCTGGTTAGTTCGTGATAGCTTTTTGTTTAGTTTTTTTGTTTTTGTTTACAAAGTCTCATTCTTCCTTTTGTACCTCTGTTGCAGACGAGGGTCGTGGTCCATTTGACCTAGAAACTTTGGCAGAAGGAGTAAACATATTCACAAAGTTGACATTGCTTTAAAAGCTGGTGACAATAGGCTTTTTTAGCATCTAACTCTGATCTCCTGCACGGTACACTGCTATGTTTTCTGGTGTTTGGTATTTCAACTTTTGGTGTTACGCATTCATTGCTTTACCTTTGCTCTGTTAAGCCAAACACTGGCAAAAGTATTTTAAAATTCGATACTGTTTACAGTAAAAATAAGTTATTTAAGCATAGAAAAGGAAAAAAACAATCCATTTAAGCTGGCAAGTCATTATAAACTTTTACATACACCTTTGTCTACACCTGTTTTTTCTTTTTTTTTTTTTTTTTCTGATACTAGATTCATGGTTAATGGCTCAGGTGACAGAAACGTCCAGTGACCCTAATTCTGTAGTGCAAATAAAGTGTGCATGTTTGTGCTGAATTGAAAAAAACAAGGGCCAAATTATTTTCATTTTACCCCAGTGGTTCCACTAATGTCCATGGGAAAATATGGTGAGACAAGTAGAATTTGGCCTTCAGAGTTTGTAACTATTTTTCTAATTGTGTGTTGCAACTAAGAACTGTAAAAAGTGCCTTCTGTAGGTTTTAAGTGCTTAATACATGCAGAATGTAAAAGGTTTTGTTTCCTGTAGAAAAGTAACACAGGCAGCCTTAAGATTTACAACTTTACCTTTGGTTTGTGTAAAAAAAAAAAAAATAATCTAATTAACAGAGCCCCTGGAAGCAGGAAACAGACAAACAGAGGAAAAGGGTGATGCTCGAACCTATGAAGGCTACACTGGAAATATGTTCCTGTATTAACGGTACAGCTAAAACATGTAAGAACTTTTTACAAACAGCTCCCTGTTTATTTGTGCTGTCAAAAAGAAAAAAGGCATTTTCACTTTTTCTACTTAAAATAAGAGGTAGAGACTTTCCACAGGGGCACTTAGGGCCTAAAGAAAACATGAGGAAGTTGAAAAGCTGCAAAACATTAATGGGAATACGTTCCAGTAAATCCCTCTAACTTTTGTGACTTAAAGGCTTGATTCTCATCAACTCTACAAATCTTTCAATACCTACTTGTCAAGAATAATAGTTAAGAACGTAGCCGTGGGATTTAAGCTGTTTAAAAAGACAAAAATAACACTGAAATGAAATAATAATGAAAAAAAAGGTTTTGAATAATAAAAAGTCAAAATGTTTCAGAATCCGAATCATTTTCATTGTACCCGTCCTCAGTTCCTATGTTATTACTCAAGGCCTTATTGTAAGAGTTAGTGCTACCCATACTGGAGCCACCGCAGAGATGCGTCCTGCCCAAATTGTCTTTTTTAAAGCAAACGAAGTTGAAAGCCGTCATTGAACTGGAAGGAGAAAAAGGCATCATGGTAGCCAAAATGAGTGCCAGGCAGTCAGCCACGTCTTTGTTAGGAGCGCAAGCCAGGGCTGGCGTATGACCTGGGCACAAATGCAGACAAGGCAATGGTTAGTGCTAAGGGTACTGAGAATGGCACTGAGCATTCCTCATATACATCTCTAGATGACGTCGTAAGCAGGAGATGTATGTTCAGTTACGATCATGCCAGGCAACAGGGGTATGTTACTTCTTTTAAATTAGACATGCTGGGAAAATACACGCTTTATGGAGCATTTAAATCACTGTGACCACAACAAGCACTATTTTTTAAAAATCAGGCAGCAAACGGACTTCACGATATGAATAAAAGCACTTGCTAAAACACAGTTCTACAGCACAGGCAGTATGATGAATACAGAACATGGGGAGGACAGCAACAGGGACAGAAACTGGCTTCAGTTTCTGTGCATATGAACAAGTCTCATTCTGAGAACAATGACTTTCATTAGAACATAAAAGATATTACTTCAAAATGTTTTTAAACTAGTAAGTAAACAATTTTAAAGACTGACCGGTTGAGCATCTACTCAACTCAGAAAGCAGTTTATTTAGGAATTAAATTATGAGAGAAAAGAATTAGACCAGTGCACGTGGCACATGTGTAATGGGTATGACTACGTGGATGTTTAGGTACCCAAATTTACATTATGTTAGAATAATAACGACTGTATTCAGAAAGCTTGGCATACACATCAAGTACCCAGTTAATATTCTACAGATGTCAGTAAAACAAAGAACTGGGGAGCTACTGAAAGTTTGTCTTTGCTGCAGTTTAATGTGGCTCCTGGCCAAGCACTGCCCCTAAAGCAGCTCTTCATGTATACAGATCTTGGAAACCAGTATGCGGATTACATTTGCTATCTATACATTTTTCAGGCTGCTGTGTAGTGCTCCAGCACTTTCCAACCAATCCTCCTTTATACTAAGAGCAAACAAATTCTTTTGAAGATGGCTAAATCTTAAGTGCTGCAAGCAACAGTAATCTGAGGCAATGACCGCTACCAATACCCTCCTGCCTCAAGTGAGCTGAGAACACCTGCAGTGTAGGGGAGTTTGGCGGACAAATGTGAGTACAGTTTTGTAGCAAACTACCCACATTTAAGCACTGACTGCAGCGAATGCATACCCTAAATGGAATTTACTCTTCCACTAAGTTCCAAGCGTGAATACTCTTTAGAATTGTACTTACACTAAGACTGTACTTAAACTTCTCTCTTTTAAACTGGGTATGCAGTTGTTCCTAGAAGAATTAAACGTGTATCAAATTTAAACTTCATTACATACATGCAGATTATCTGGATCTGTATGTACAATTTTAATGACAAAAACTGTGGTTAGAAGCTAGTCTGGTTCATTTTTTCTGTCCCCTATCCCTAATATGAGGTTAGGGCCAGATGACTTCAGCAGAACTCATTCATGCAAGTATATCTAGGTAGCATTTGGTTAATAGGAAATACTCACCACTCAGTTCTTTTCATCCATAGATCTCAAATGTCTTGCAATGATGGGTGAGTATTATTATTGTTACTTTACAGATATGGCAAGATGGAGGTACCGAATTGTTACATTAATGCTATGAAGTCAGTATTGTAAGAAAGACCAGCTTATTTCAGGAATACATTTTTTAAAACATTATATAATTATAGAAGCACAGCCCTCTATGGGCTTTGTAATGTTTAGGGAAGGACTTCATTGAGATCTGAAACAAAATTATCAGATTTATTAACTAATCATGTATTTTATGAGGCAACAGTAATTTACTTGCATTTTGCATTAGGTCAGACGATTAGTAAGCACAAGCGTTGGTCTCAGAATGAACTAGGACACAATCACAAACATGTGTTGATGGTTTTCTTCCTACCCATTAAAACATGCGCTGATTGAATGCATAATCCTTAATTCTTCTGCAAGGCGTCAGAATTATCCGGTGCCACTTGCATGTTTAGGAAATTCAAGTTACCACTGCACTCAAGCATTAAAAAAGACTAGCTGTTGACAGTACATGCAAAATGAACAGTAAAAGGGACCGCTGTGATGTTTAGAATACATTTTTGTATTAAAGAAAAATAAATAGTATCTTTTTTTTTTTTTTAAATAGGTACTCACACAGCTCATTGTCTGTTCTTGGAAGGATAAAAGCATCAATGATGTCTATCGTCAGCTTTTAAGTCTATTGCTTCAGACGGCTGTAAAATTACCTGCTGGGTCCTACTGAAGATTGTCAAAGTGTATTATTTACTTACCATTTTCATCTACTGCTAGGACACATGCCCCTTTGGCTAGCAACTCTTCAACCACCATCTTTAAGCCGTTTCGTGCAGCAATATGGAGAGGTCTACAAAAACATAACAATTAAATTCAAGTTCAGTTTAAAATAGACTTTCTAAAAAAAAGTTAGGTAATGCTTAAAGCATACCCAGCATCAGAAAGAGAATGTTTTCCTTTTTTGGATCATTACAATTATATTGTAGACACTAAATTACATTACAGCCTTTAAAATAATCCTCATGTTCCACATTTGTGCAAGACAAATATAATTACCTTTACATACACAAAGACTGCTTAATACTTTCCAGTCTAGAGCTTTTCTTTAAAAAGCTCCCATTTATCCACTGTTTGCAGCACACAACTGACATTTAAAAGGAAAATTAATCTAAGACTGAAGAAATGCCTTTGTTTCATCCTTCATTCTGGCTACTACAGACTGTTCAAAATTATTGTATTGCCTTTTTATCCTTGAATACTCGATTGCTAGTCTTCGTTACTGCAGAGCAGACAGAAATTAAAAATAATCACTGGTTTGCTCCCTTCCTAGGCCAACACCCAATGGTCCCGTTTGGGGACAGCTGGTGGGACAGGAAAAACAATTTCATATTGGAAGGGGGGGAACAAAGGGCTAAGACGGAATGAATTCTTCTGCAAGCACTAGATGATCTGCCACCTGAACTCGTGGTTGAATCTTCTCCTGTGGGATTCCCCCTGCCAAACAGTTGCTGGACTAAGAATATTAAGGGTTCTAACTCTGCTGATAATGTCTGGTATGGATGGGAGTTACACATAAAACATCACCTAAAAAACCTTCTGAAGATCAAATGTACCACCTTAAGTCTAAAGAAATTATTTAAGATTTAAGGTGAGGCTCAAAAAGCTAGGAAATGCCAGATGTATACTCATACATTCACATGATTAATAGACATTTTTATATAGTCTTCAAGTAAATGACCTCATATAATTTTTCCACCAGACCATGTAGAGAATCAAAGGATTCAAAATTAAAAGGCAAAATGCAATACAAATCTGATCTTTTCAAGGGCAAGCACTCAAAAAAATCAGAAATCAATATTTTGTTCTATAAAAAAATCTGAGACATGAATTTGAAATGCTAAATTGGAATCTTCTGGTAAGTCAACTGAACTTGAGAGGATCAGGCTATACTTACGTCTGTAATGCATTATTTTTTGCATTAATAAGGCTCTGTTCTTGTATCTTGTCAAGTATTAACAAGGCACATTTTTCATGACCCTGTAGTTGGGAAAAAAAACAAACAGTGTTAATTTGCTGAGGAGTTTGAAGTTAAGGCAAAAGAAATGTTACATATAAAAGTGAAATTCAATAACACAATTTGAATTACAAAACATGCTACTCAGCTTATAAGGACGTGTAGTAGGTGAACTGTAGAAGCCTTAAAAATACCATTTACAAACTGCCACTGCTAGGATGCTTTAGCACATTCAGAAATTCAGACCTGCACCTGCCTTTCAACCCTCCATTCGTTCATATATGAATTCACCTCCTCAGCTTTCAGAGAAGACTGCTATTTCTCTTGAGAGAGCATTCAATGGATTATTTATTAGAACTACATAGTAACATAGAAAGACACTCTTTAATTTCAACAACTAATACTATCCTTTCTGTGTTATTAATAAGCAATTACAAAATCCCTTTGGTGTGAGAGGTCTAATAATGAAACTTTGGAAATAATACAGATGCGGGCCTGATTTCTGATATTGTTTCAGCACAGCAAGTCGCAGACGCAGAGCCTACTGCCCTGGCAGGCGAACAGCTGCCTGAAGGACCTTGAGAATTCAGCGAGACTTATGTGTCTGCAGAAACGGGAGTAATACTGTCACACTGGAATCCAATCTGTGGATAGGAGCAAAAGAAAAGGCCCAGGAGAAGGAATCCCATGGGCAATTTTTTTCTTGCAGAAATGGCAGTAGCAATTGGAATTAAGAAGAAGAAAGGGTGGGAAAAAGACACCACCACCAATCTAATCAATGCCTCTGGTTTTACTGCTACAGAGCATAAAGGAAAATTTTGCGTTCCTTCCACAGAAACTGGAGAATAAGAAAAAAGAATAATTTTTTTTTCTTTCCCTTTGCCACAGAACCTATCTTAAGCTATTTTACAGTGAGGTTATTTGGTAAAATCCCAAAAGATTTTCCATTATTTCTCTTTGTTTCCCTTCCTTATGTTTCAGTTGTCATAAGAGGCATCCGTATTTCTCAGTTTACTAAACCTTGAAACAGACTTGAGAAAAAGCTTGGAACAATGCTCCCTTCCTCACCACAAGTTTCACCATCACATTTCCATTGCAGAAAAATTTTTAGGAGCATAAACACACACACACACACACACACACACACACACACACAGAGAAACTGTGAAGAGAAGCACACAGAGGTCTTCAACTTACTTTACTGCTAGCCAAGTGCAAAGATGTATTCAACTCCTTATCTTTTAATGTCAGGTCAGCCTTGGCAATATTCACCAAAAAGTCTGAGGTACAAAACAGAAATCAATGAACAAACCCAACGGGCAGACGAACATGTAAAAACAGAGGAAAAAAATCACTATTTCAATAAGCATGTGCATAAGTGCTAATCAATTAAGCCTTTATGTGATATAAGCTTTATGAACTTGAAGTGAAAACAATGAAAGAGAACAGTCTAGTCTTGTGCAGTTAATCAGCAAGCGAAGGCAGAGCTAAGATCTCATTGTGCTCCAAACTGTCAATCATATATTCATCTTACTTTATTTATAAACTTCCCCATTTGCAGATCAGCAAGTTCTGCCTGAATCACCTCCTCCCGAGAACAACTGTGGATCCTGCTTTGAGAGGACTAAGTGGATATAAAGAATTTAGGGTGTGGTCTGTGCTGTTGAAGCTAGAGAAAAGGGAATTCTGTTAAGCCAATATGACCCTAATCTGTATGTCTATAGTATACAGTCTAGCCTGGAAAAGCAGCTGCTGATAGCTGCCATTTTAAGAATAGAACTTGCTATAATAGAGCGGAAAAAAAGGTTACACAATCCTTTTCACACGTGCAGTTTTACTACTCCATACAATCAAGGAAGTAAACAGGAGAACAGTTATTACTCCCCTCATGCTCTTTACAGTGTGCTCTTAGGAGGAAATAAGACTCAAGTTTGTTATTGCAAAAGTTCACCAAGACTGCTGAGAAGCAATGACTGAGAAGAAAAAAAAAATTTTTTTACAGATGTAAAGGTAGCCTCTTACAGACATCCACTCAATTTATTTCCCTTCCTTAAGTTTTCACAGGAAAAGAAAAATTACTGCAGTAGCACTCACCCTTCAAGATGAACAGAGGCAAGGATGTACTTACCTACAGCACCTACGTGACCATTTTGAGCTGCCATCATGAGAGGTGTTTTCCCTGCATGATCCGCAGCATTCACTTGTGCGCTGTGACTCAGGAGGAGCTGGAGGCACTCCACGTGATCCGCAAAGGCTGCTGCGTGAAGGGGCGTTCTGTGGGGACAGTAACACGACCACAGCTGTTGCTAAAGAACGACAATGTTCCTGCTTCCTTACCTTCCCAAGAACCTGGAAGTGCAAGATATTTTAAATTTTTTTTCCCCCCTATGAAATTTTAGGTTATCACCAGGGGAACATTATAGTAGCAGCATCTGAAATAAGTTAAGAATAATTACAGTCTCTTGTCCTGGTGCAATATAAACTTGAAAAAAACGGAGGCATAAAGTGGATATGATACCGTGGAGACATGATACTGCAGAGAATCTCATATTAGCAGCTTATTTATTTTAATGGAGCATACTGCATAATATGAAAAGCAGAACAATCCCTCATTCTTATTCATCTGCTTTTATTTTTTTTAACAAGCCTAAGATGGGAAGAACGATCAGAAAAGAACAGATCCATTATTTAAAAAAATTAAAGTATTTTAAGTTACAGTCAGAAATACTTCAGCAACAAGCTACAATAACAGTATTACTGTAAAAGGCAGAAGGAATTCCATCCACTTTGAAGTTTATCAGTTTCCACAAGATCGAGACACTAGAATTGGTTTGCATTATGCCCTATGGCATTTTGGGTCTGAAGTGTGACTAATAGAGATGAAAGATAGTTGGTACACAGCCCAGCTCACAGCGTTACTTCGGGTTTTGCTTATCAGTAAGGGTGAGGTGGTCTTAGGTCTTACCCTTGTAGGAGTAAGTAATCACCATTACTGAAGGTCTTGAATTGGTTTATTTAATGGAAACAATGAGTATTCCATTTTTAGAATTTCACCAATTTTAATTAAATATATACACACGCGCACACACAGTGGGGAGATTATCAACGTAACAAATTAGGGATTTGTCTGAATGCATATCTCTTGCTGTATCAGTATTACTTTGCTGCATAGATGTTTTGAGTTGTGTGCCTTGAGAATGCTAACATAACATTTAAAGCTTTTAATGAAATACTTTTCTACGTGTAATAGTATCACTCCATTTAGCAAAGATAAACGTGTTTAAATATTTAACAAAGAAAACTGGTTCAAGGAAACAGCCTATAGTCAGAGTTGTTCTAAGCAAACAAAATACTCTTTCTTTTTCATTTCCTTTCAGATGTACTATGAAACTGAATGCTTGGTAGTGTTCTTGCTTCAAGTGAGGCACCATTTAACTCTGGTGCAGTGTAAACTACTGTCTGAGAGAGTCAGCATGACAAGTCTTAGTTCAACCATATCAGATAAGGATTAGTTCCAGAGGTTCAGAAAGAATTATGAAAAATACTAGATGGATTCCTGAAGATCAAATGCAATTTGTTTAAGAAACTATTACCTTCCTTTGTCATCTTTGCAATTGACAATGCTGGCATCGATGGCTCCGATGAGCAGTGATGCACAGTTTTCGTGATCATTGATTCTGCCAAAGAAAAGACATCTTCAAAAAGGTAAAAAGTCTACACCTTTTCCCACTTTCCAGTATTAATTTACTTTCACTTCCCGTTAATATTTCTTATTGGTTATTTATAAGTTATCCTAACATACCTTTGCCGTAATGCTTTCAGTTACATTTCTGATTATTCATCATCTCTCCATTTAACCAAACTGCACCTGCTACTATGAATTCCAGTCTCTAAAGCAAAGTTGATCTTGCAATTCACTATGCACAAAGGTAATTGAAAGTGCAGCACCAACATAGGATTAAAACCTTAATACCTTAAAATCCTTTAGTCTAAATGTCAAACACACCTGGATCTGGAAAGCACTTAGTCACAGATACCTACATATAGAAAGCTTTATTCTAATGTTTTATGTACTGAAGCCCACATCTCTCCCAACTCACACATTTAATACTTTTTCTTCATGGACGTATTCAATTAATACTCTTTCTGGTTACTGTTAATTTGTCTCATTTCATTCTGAAAATGAACAGTGTTTAGTAACAGTACTGGCCATATAGTATAGCTAACATGCACCCACGCTGGATTAGCAGCTGTTTTAATTTTAAATTTGCATGCATTTGTAAGCTGCACACATTTTTAATGGATTTGAGAATGACCTATTAGGTTTTTTTTATATCTAAAGAATATAAATATTGAAAAAAAAATTTCAAAGCTATCACTAGAAATTCAGATTTCAAATACTATGTCTCAGCCACAAATTATTTTATTTTAAGCAGAGTAAAAACAGTGCTTTAGATATACTTTTATTTCACTGATGTATTGGGGTTTTTATAATTTCGAAGTCTGACACAGAACAAATTTCTTTTCTACTTTCCAATGATGCGGACCTTAGAAGGGAAGCCTACACAATAGCAACTCCTATCATTACTTCTGGAAGACATTCATTCTTCTCAGAGAACATAGAATAGAACACAGTCATTCTAACTGTTGGCAGAAATTAGGAAGGTTTGCATTTGTTTCTTCAGTGTTTAATTTCTTACTCTTCTGATCGCTTACATGTTTTAATAAGCATGTTAGGTCCTACAAACTAAAGTAATCTTGCATTTAAAAGAAAATGCATTTGCAATTATATTATGAAAAGTTATTATTTTGCTCTGTTAGAATCCTTCCCATATGAAATCATACTGCTTTACTTGAATATGTATGAAATATATGCATGGAAGAAGAAGAATAACTCATAATAGCCACCACCTTTTTGTTGTTCATAAGTAATATGAGAACTGATCAATCCCTTTGGCTGGGACCTGGGTAAGAAGTAAAAAACCTTCAGGACAGGGTCTATCTCACAAGGAAAAAAGACCATGAAGAAAATCAGTCTGCAAAACACTCACTGAGGATGTCTTGGAAAAAAATATGGCCTGCACAGAACACCATTCTAGCATGACATAAATTGTTGTTTCAAATCATCTTCATTAAGGCTTTGTTCCTATTGCTAAAAAAGAATCATCTTGATTCTGACAAATTTATTAACTTTCAGCCATTGGGTTTCAAAGGAACCTCAAAAGCTCATACTTACAGGGACCAAGGCACTATAGCCCAGGTCACGGCCTAAGAATGGAAGAACTATGAAGTTCCAGCCTGTGTGAAGAAAAGGCATAGATCTGTAGTTGTAAGCAAGGGAAAAGAAACTAGAAAGGGAGCAGAAATGCAGCTACTTAATTACAAGTCAGAATTTTGATCAAATAACAGCCTAAATGTATGAAATTTATGCAAAAATACTCTTTATTCTGCCACTTTTTCAGCAAAAGTACAAGCACAATTTTATGATCAGCTTTACTTGCTCATGCAAGTGATCTAAAAAAAAAAAAAAGCGCCGCCTTCTCATACTACTACTTTTCCCAAACACACCCTAAGCATTTGTTACTGGAGATTTCTACTTACACGGCACAGTGCAATGGAGAGAAGCTATTACCATAGAATGTGCGGAAAAATTTTTGTTCCAGAAGTACCTCTATGCAGTTTTCATGACCTGTAAGAGATCAGACAGTGTTGCGCAAAGCAAGTAGTTCACTTCATTCATATTAGGCTTATACAGATTTGAATTTAACAGTAAATTCAAAGTTGAACACAGTGCCTATATAAGCTCTTACGAAATAAAATTATGAACAGGTTTTGGGGGTTTTTATGGCAGCAGCAAGATAGATCCAGGCTAATATTAGCACTTACTGAAAAAAAAAGGAAAGGAAAAAAAGTCTCTTTTTTATGTGACGTTTTTTATGTTGCCTTACACATCTCCAAACATGGTCTTAAATTATGGTATTAGGAAACTTTATCCTTATATTAAGCAAAAAGTTCGGAAACTAGTTTAGAATAATCAGTTCAGAATATCCATCCATTCATGTGGTCTCTTCATCACTGGCCCCACAGCAATCAATGAGAATTTCATCGCTGACATCAGTAAAACCAGAATTTCACCCTGGCCTCCTGTGACTGGGAGCAAATGAGCTGCAAAGCCACTGGGAAGTATTGCTGGAATTTTCCTGGCTTCTGAACTGAAGGGTGAACATAGCAAACGCTAACTATGGAGAGCAAGCAGAGGGGAGATAATTTGCTGCTTCATTTCAAGCCTCTCAAAGTGTTAGGCTGCTTTGTTATCATGTTTCCCTAAAACTGAGGCCACATTTGAACTTGGCAAAATTCCACAGGGAGAAACTTACCGTTGTAACAAGCCCAGTGCAGCGGTGTATAACCTTGATTATCTTTCAAACTGCAGTCTTCCTCTGAAAGTGCTATCTGCAGTAATTCACTCAGCCAAGTGGCGTGACCCCGAGCTGCTGCAAAGTGCAGAGGTGTTCTGCCTCTGGCGTCTTTACATAAAATAGATACTTCTTTCTCTAACAGCATCTGAACACACTCTTCGTGCCCAGTCATAATCTGGTAACAAAGAAATGAGTTATCATTTCTCAATGTAAAGAGGTTGACATAATACAGATTCTTGCCTAGGAAATACGGAATATGATTGATGCCTGTGAACATGAAACAGCCTGGATGGGATTCAGAAGGCAGAGATGAAAGCTCCTTTGCTCCCATGAATACCTATGATAACTGATGCACTGAAATGTATTTGGTGCTGTCTTTTAAAGGCATTGCTTCCTAGCCTGTGGAGGAGACTCCGCGAAGTGAGGCACAAAAACAAGGAGGAGTTTAAGACTAAGGAAACAGATGAACAAGGGGTGAGGTTCAGAAAACCAGAGTCTGGCTTCCCAAAACCATGTACGAATGTGAGAGAAGGACTGAAGGAAAAAAGAATCAAGAATATAATCAGAAATAGGGAAAGCTGCTTTAACAGCTGGCCGGCTACCATCAATGACCTCTGTATCATACATAGGTTAGCTGTGGTATCTTGGTCATGTTCATGTATTGGTATCAATACAGAACAGAAATTTTATGCCATAGTTTTTATGACAGAAAAGTGTTGAACCCCTAAGCTGAACTGCTCACTGCACTTATCATAGAGTTCTGTATAAATATCATCTCTTGCATCAACTTCACATTGGGTAAGAAGCAGACTCATTGAAAAGATTAGAACTGCCTCAAGTTTCACTGCCTCCAGATCAAAACTTAAGGCTTATTTACACCATCCTCCCCAAGAAAAAATGAAAATAACTGCTAGGCAGTTCTTTTAAAGAAATTATTTTCAGAAGGTGCTCTGTTATATGAATAATGACTGCTATTGTAAAGTGTCTAGAGCCAAGAAAAATTGGTCTAATTAGTATTTTATCTAATTAATTGAAGTGAATGTGAAATACAGTCAAAAGCAGAGCATTACTGAGAGTATATCTGTCCTCCTTTTTACCTCACTGACTGTGCTTGGTCAGGTTTCCAATCATTAACAGTGTTCCCTACATTCAATATCCCTGTATTTATAAGTGAGTTGTAGTCACAGTAAAACCAATAATTAAGAATCATAAAAATTAAGTCACCCCTCGATGTAAAGCTGTGCATCCCAGGAGATCAGCTGCATCTACAGATGCTTCTTTTTCAAGTAATAAAGAAACAGCATCAATGTGCCCATATGCCACTGCAAGCATTAGTGGGGTTCTAGAAAAAACAAAAGCAAACCAGTCACAGCTATAAAATGACATACTGCTGGCCACTGCTAACTTACAGGAATAGAGAAATCAGGAAGCCTTATATTTCTCTCCGTTCTTACCCACAAACCTGTTTTGGGGGTTGGACTAGATGACCTCTAGGGGTCCCTTCCAACCCAAAACATTCTATGATTCTATGATTCTATGATTCTTTCACCATACTTGCCTATGTAACACCCAAGTGAAGACCTTTTGTACGAAATTACTAAGATGTTTAACAACCAACTACCATGACTGAAACAGAAACAAACTCATTTGTAAGCAGTTTACAGAGCAACATCATTCAATAATAGCCTAGAATTACTGTCACCTCCGGCGACACATGAGCTTTACAATACCCAAGTGTTGTGAATGAATGTCCCTGCTAGTTACCAAGTTGACAACCACACAAAACATTTCTTTTGCAAATGCTGCGCAATTGCTTTAAAGGGGATGAAGGGGCATGCGGAAACTATTCAAGCCAAAATTTGGACTAACATACCTTCCATTTTTTTCAGAAAGGGATCTATTCTCCTTCCATTTTTGGATGAGACAATTACCATTTAAAATTATATGCATAGTCAGATATGTTCCAGGCACCGCAAATGAGTTTTTTAAACCATTCACATTTTCACTTTAAAAATATACTTGATTCTCCCTCTATAACTGCCATTTAACGAGAAGTAACATTTTTGTAGGAACATCTCAGATTCATGTGTCACCTCAAATAAACATTCTGTCTCACTGCACCAGCCTAATATACCATCTAAACCCTGAAATAGCAATGTTTTAGAAAGAAAAAGACTCTCTATTGAAACATCTCAGGAGCTTGTCAGTTTTTATTGAATCTGGCCCTCAGCATCGACGAAGAGTTGCTTAAAATATGAAGCAAAGGTTAAGATTAATGAATAATCCTTTCCACATGGCTTAGATCAACTGAATGTCTACTTTGTAATCTCTGCCAAATTCTATAAGGAGAAGTGCAGGAAATACAGGATTTCAAATAAATGCTTTTTTGGTAAGAAATCTGAGATGCTATTTGAATCACAGAGCTGAAAGAAAACCATCACAATGAAAACTTACTGTCCTTTGGCGTCTGTCACATCAGGGTTGTCTGCAACTTCTAGCAACAACCGTAAACAAGGTGTATGGCCATTAATCACTATAAAGAAAACAAAGGATGTTTAATTAAAATACGTTTAATTTCAGATACTTTTCCATTGGAATGCTTACAGATGAGAAATTTCCTTATGAACAAGGAAAATATTCCACAATACAAGAAATTAATATTCCCACAAATTTCATTTAACTCCTGCCGATGGAATGGTGAGCTCTTTTTACACTGACCTCAGTAAGACGAGGATCAGTTCCCTTTACATACAAAAATCCCAAATGAGTAAAACAGAAATCATGATTTTCACTACTGAGATATCTACTGAACCAGACAGCATTTCAAAATCCCTCAGAGCGAGCAGGCAGACAAGGCTTTCTGCGATCGGATTTGGGACGCAGTGGGAAGTATGCCAGCAGGGCTCATTCATTTTTCATGCACTGTACAACCAAGTTCTTCAACGCTGCTATGAAAAAAAGAAGCATCTGCAAAGAATGCCCAATGATACAAATGTCATATTCATAACAGTACATAATACCAGAGACTAAAATTCCTTTTGGGTTTTTCCAGCCTTTCTAGTTTAACATTATTGGAAGACATAACTACTTCTCAAAAATGGTGTTTCCTTTTTAAAATGTAACCCATTGCTGTTGGAAAAGAGCTCTGAGTTACTACATTTTGCAGGGCCTGACACTGGAAACCCAGCTGTGTATCAGCTGGTTTAAAGGCTTCAGCTTTATACAACTCATGGGATGAAGAGAACAGTATTTTCTTCTTTGAAAAGCAGTAATTCCTGTACTCAGTAGATCTAGATTGTGCTCTTATTACAGCAAGTCATGCATTCACACTGCCCACACCCTGTGGGCTGAGGCAAAACCCTTGGACACCACCTATGTCACATCATTCTGGCAGAGAAATGGGCGGACATCGTCACATTTAAATCACTCATCCAAAAATAAGCTTAGTTGCTCTGCCCAGAAAAATAAAAGACATTTTTAGTTATTTACCACTAAGTAATGCCATATACATAACATGTAAACAGTTCTGCAGGGCTGATGAGTCACTGGCTTGGGGGGGGGGAAATCTGTTCTTTCTCCCAGCAGGAGGAAGAAAAATCATCTTTTCACACCAACGTCTGAAAAGGATTTTGGTAAATGAGTTTTAGAATAGACTCCCAGAAACTCTTAGGAGCTGACCCAGCAATTGCTAAGCATTACAGACCCTGCAGGGAGCATTAGTTTTGCCAACAGAGCTACAACACTAGCATTAGGGGCACATTTGCAATGGATTCCCCAAGCTAGCCAGAGGAAAGACTGGTGGTAATAAAATTATACAGGCAACATACAATTTAGGCTAAGGAAATTCTCCATGTTATGAGGTCAGAGGAAGTCTATTCCCTTAGGGGGGACAGACAGAAAAAAGAAATACTTCATTAGGAGATCTCTCTACTAAAGTTACAAACCCTTTTGCGGAACAGAGCTCTGCAGAATCTTGTAAGACTTCAGGTCTCCTCAGCTGCTGTGTTCTGCCATTGTGCTTGCGTAATTGGAAGGAATGAAGGCAAACACGTTTAAGGGGATGGACACACATACCTTCTTGTTTCTTTCCAGTGCATAGGAAAAATGCACACATATTCACTTTTGTGTGTGCAAATGTGCACTGCCACTCAAGGGATTAATACAGCAAGAATTCTGTTTGATTTCTCAAAATATGGCAATTTACCTCTTGCACTTGCACTGCAAATAAAAAATGCTGGATACCACAGTGGCACGATGCAGTTTCCAATAGGTGGCATCATTCTTTGCTAAAACACTCCTAAATAAAATGTACTGTTATGAAACAGCATAATAAAAATCATCAGATTGCAAGTGGCTTTTCATAATAGCTGGAGATAGAAGCTTTATTCCAGAGCTAATTTCCACAGAACTCTGCATAGCTCTTGATCTAAACGTTGTCTTAATGGATATTTACCCAAAGTGCACTTATCTCCCATTTTAAAGCCTCCAAATTCAAGACAGTGATAAATTTCCTTTACTAAGAGTTCAAACATTCAGTCTGTCCGTGCAGTATTTTCCCTTCTTAAGGTACATGTTTTCTTTAGTGTCTCATTCCTGTGGGTATGGCTTTCTTGCTTCTTACCTTTTTTCTTCCTCCCCCCTTTTTAAAATACACACCTAACTGATACTGCTTCACTCTAGATTTAAAGAACATGTTGCTTACACCCCTGGAAGACTTTTTTTGATCTTTTAAAATTTAATTTTTTTTTTCTAAAGCAAAATAATATCACAGACAGGAATCTTCCTCCTGGTTTTACATGGAAGGCACTCATACTACAGTGATGGGTGCAATTAAAAAAGAAATTAAAATAGGGAAAAAACTTCACCATCAGAATTTGTATGACGGTAAGAAATGCGCGTATTAAAATAACACCTTCTGTTCAACAAATCTACTCAATTCTATTCAACAAATCCATCTTTTAAGTCAGAGCTGCTAACAGAAATATGGCTTTGTTACCATTTACTTTTCTGAGTATTGCAGAATCCTTACAATTCAGCTGTGACGACAAGAAACCTATGTCACTGTAACTGAATTTTCAAATAAATACAAAATCATTGCTATAGTGATGATGTACCAGACAAAGTCACACCTTGTTTATCATTAGACCCCAAGCTATGTTTGAAGTCACTATAGCAAAGTTCTTGACCAACACAGCTCCAGTTTTGTGATGGCACTGACCTTGATTTCAATTAATTAAACCAACAGTTTTAACAGGGTGAGGATCAGCTGGGTTTACTATTTTGTGTTTTTATCAAAAACAACTAAAAACCCCTCTCACTGAATTCTGGTCTCAAACTTCTGACATGTAAGCACTGGTGGCACATCTCTATATCATTAGTTTATTGTGGGGAGTAATGTACTCAGATGTGATGCAAAAATTAAGAAGGCAGAATCCATTTTTTTTGTATGCTGTGAAGACCTATTATGCACATTTTCTTCAGTACTGCAACAAAACTGGTTATAGTCTATTTGACTTTATGCTTCCAGGCTGCATTTACATGATCACACACAGAGAACAAAGTGGTATTAGAGGCTGTATATGCATTTTAATCTAAGCAAAATTAAAAGATAAACAGAAAGACAATTAAGTCTGGCCCTGAAAGTAATTGTTATCCAATGAAGTATTAATTTTATTTCCCACTAGAGGTCACTGCTATGCTGCACTGAGCCCCCTCGATGATCAGCCAGAGGGGCAACATTCCCTTTGGTACCCCCGCGTATTTATCTGTCGGGTACATATTAAATAATAACCTTTAAATAAATGGCAAATTCCACATTTTCCAGCCAATTATGCACATTGTATAATTAACACTCAACACATGAGGAATGGAGCAGACTCCCAGCAACAGCAAGTTCACAAGCTAGCTCAGGAGGATGATAACATCTGAAAGGGGGTGAATTTCTGTAGTGTTGCCCCTGCAAAAGGTTGAAAGTTCTGAACACCAGGGTAATTTAATCACCAAGGAGAGCCTACTTGTATTTTCAGCCTTTCTTCCTTAGGAGAAGCAGTGAGGTAAGTATTCTCTCTTCCCCTGAATTTTTGGCCAAGGAACCATTAAGAGAAGGTGTCACAGGGGAAACATCACACACCTTAAAGAGTAGGTGGTAATAGATAGGTAAAGTAAAGTAGAGGCAAGCAGGTAAGGGCTGAACAGTAGTGGTGTGGGAAAATGTGGAATTCTGTGTGAGGGAGGACTGAACCACTGGGACAAAGGAAAAAAGACCAAGGAAATGAAAGATAAGAGTTAACTGTAGGACCTCAGCAAACAAGCAGCAGTCCCCAGTACAAGTCAAAATCTCCTTCTTCCGTTTAGAAGAAATGTGCATAGGGATAGTAGGTAGGTAAAGGTAACTGCTTCTGTGCTGTAGCATTTATACTACAAGCGTAACATAAGAATACACTCACCTGAGGCATGGAGGGGGGTCCTTTTGGTGACATTGTCTTTTACAGTGACAGAAGCACCCTGGCTGATGAGAGCTTCCACGCACTCTGCGTGTCCTTTAAACGCAGCCAGGTCCAAAGCAGTACGTCCCTTCTCGTCCTTAATATCCAGATCTACTAGAGATTGGAGAAGTACCTCCAAGGCTTGATGATGACCGTTATAGGCCTAGAAATATTAAATGAGTCATGTAAAGAATGCAACTCTTGTCTTTGGAAGACTTTCACATAAAATGTGAGTAAAATCCATCATTGTCACAGTCTCCTAAAACACAGTAGAAATGACACTGTTTTCTTGGTTCCTTACAACTCTCTCTCCAACTTGAAAGGACTTTCCCCAATTACACTGTAGCCAAGAAACTAAAAAATTCCTAGTGTTTAGGGACCGAAATTCTGATTGTTCTAAAACAACCCAAGGTGAGGAATTTCAGGCAATAATTTGCCAGTTCAGCAGAGACAAAAAACCAGTTAGTTTTTCACATTCTACAGTATCTTTCAGGAAACGTTTGCTTCACCAACTAGTGATTCATTCACTAGTGATGCTGGGTCAGAGGTCGCATGGTTTATCACCTAACTGAGTGCTAAATTCAACACATCTGCTGGTCTCCAGGTAAAGAAAGCAATTCTCAAACCAGATTTTTATGCAAATACAAACACAAACTTGACCTGCTGTTTATAGCTGCTGCTTCGTGTAGTATTCCTGCCAGTAGGATCATTTGGTAAAACAACTACAGTGGACAAGTAGATGCACTTCCAGACCTACAGCCACGTTTGGGCCAACAGCAGAAACTCAGATGACATTGCAAAAACCCAGCGGATAGCCCCAGAAACTGGAAACATTTCATTCAGCTTTGTAGGAGCTGCCCTATTCTCCTTACTGTCAGACTCAGGGAACATCCTTTTATTTATACATGAATGTATCATTAGTATTATCAGCACTGAAACAATTAATGAAAACAGTAGAGGAATGCAAACATGAAGGAACCAAAGAGCCACTGAATTTCAAGGTTAAGCAGCGGTTGCAGCAGCTTGCTCCTATTGACCGCTGTCAAAAGTTCAAACAAACAGGACAATGCAGGGAACAAACAGTTGTTTCCCTGTTAAACTGAGATGACTACTTAAGGAAAGCAAAAGCAAAAGCAGAAAAAGAAAAGCAAAGGGAGATTAGGGCACAGGAAACCCGTAACTCAGAAAATACTCTGACACAGTTGTCAGCTTTTCTTCTTCATGACAATTTTACTTAGAAAACAACTAGCAACAACCTGATCTTTGACACAATATGAGGTATCTGTCTTGAAGGTGCCATGCAGACTGTATAGACCATCCTCTCCTTGAAAGGATAATAAAGTTGACTTTTTCGTCCTCTTGGTTTGCCTTGTGAAGTCATTTACTCAACCATCACCATAATCAACCATAGCCTCAGGTCAGTATTTTGTTGGCTGCTAGTCCACCCCTTCTTTCTAAATCCTATTTCCATTCTAGGGTCAAATGTCTGTAAGCAGAGGCCTTTGCCACTGCACCACATCAGCCGTTTGAAAGGACTTTTGGAATAGGTTGCTGCCTTTCCGGATCCATGTGTGGAGACATTCGTGTGGACACTGCTAGACCTGGGGAAGGATGACCACAGGCATCCCAATACATGGAGGAGTTCAAAACAAATGTCAGAGACACTCCTGGATAGCTGCAATTGAACTGTGAAACAGTGATGGTTTATGTAGCCTTTTTTATTTTTAAACTGTGGTTTTGGGGTGTCTCAGGTGTATGAACTGCTGTTAAGCAGCAACAGATACAAGAGAGCCACTGGCAGTGTTCTTGCATGGGTTCTGCCCAAGAGGGACCAGAGAGGAAATGGGTTTGCTGTCTGGCCAGCTGTAGGGCAAGCCCCTTCCCAGCACAGAAATTTGTGTTGGTGATGGTGCAGGCTGGAACTCCTCTTTAGGCTTGGGAGTGACACTCTCCTTCCAGCAGTCTTCAAATTGAAAAAAAAAAAAAAAAAGGGCAGAAGAGTTCAGTGACAAACTCAGTCTTTTAACCCAATTGTTTTGGCTCTTGTTCCCTCAGATTACACATGAATAATTCAAATGTCAGCTCAGAGATGTTCTGGTGTCCTGGTTTCGGCTGGGACAGAATTAATTTTCTTCCTAGTAGCTGGTATAGTGCTGTGGTTTGGATTTAGTACTAGAAGAATGTTGATAACACCCTGATGGTTTAGTTGTTGCTGGGTAGTGCTTAGACTGGCCAAGGACTTCTCAGCTCTCAGCTCTGCCAGGTACACAAGAAGCTGGGAGGGGACACAGCCAGGACAGCTGACCCAAATGGACCAAAGGGGTATTGCAGACCATACAACGTCATGCTCAGTATATAAGCTGGGGGAAGAAGGAGGAAGGGGGGTACATTTGGAGTGATGGTGTCTGTCTTCCCAAGTAACTGTTATGCGTGATGGAGCCCTGCTTTCCTGGGCATGGCTGAACCCCTGTCTGCCCATGGGAAGTGGTGAATGAATTCCTTGCTTTGCTTTGCTTGCACGTGCGGCTTTTGCTTTCCCTGTTAAACTGTCTTTATCTCAACCCACAAGTTTCCTCACTTTTACTCTTCCAATTCTCTCCCCTGTCCCATTGTGGGGGGAGTGGGCGAGCAGCTGTGTGGTGCTGAGTTGCCAGCGGGGGTTAAACCACGACATCTGGCTGACTGGAAAACAAAGATATGATCGCTACAGAATTAAAACTTGCCCCCATTTTCGAGTAAGCAAGTTGCTTCCCTTTCAAGAGGAGGTCAACTTCACGGTGAGGTTGGATATTCAGTGAAGAGCCAGTCTGTGAAAGACATATGAGGAGAGGCTGGCAGAGCTGGGACTGTTCAGCCTCAAAAAAAAAAAAGGTGCTCAGGGGGGTCTTACCAATGTGTATAAACACCTGATGAGGGAGCAAAGAAGACAGAGCCAGACTCTTATCAGGGTTGCCAGGTGACAAGACAAGAGGCAATGGGCCCAAACTTAAACACAGGAAATTCCATTTAATGCAAAAAAAAAAAAAAAAAAAAAGGAATTACTGTGATGAAGGTCAGACATTGGAATAGATTGCCTGGAGGCTGTGAACTTGGAGATATTAAAAATGTGATGGGGCATGGCCTTGAGGAAACCTGCTCTAGCTGACTCTGCTTTTAACACAGAGGTGGGACTACCTGATCTCCAGAGGTCCATGTCAACCTCAGCTACTCTTGTGATTCTGTACATGAAAACTGGGAAGAGGAACCATGAATCTTGAGCTCTCGGGAAAGGAGAGCTGTTGTGATCTCTGAGGCCACATGTGCTGGATCCCCTTTTGATAGCACAGTTTCTGTGGCACGCTCCCAGGGCACTGCTGGGGTTTAAGCATGCTTTCCCACACCTTGCTGTGTACCAGACAGTTTTTTGCACCTGCACATCTCCAGGAGCTCCAGCCCCAAATTTATAAACTAGTTATAAATAAAAGTTGCAACTTTCCATTTAATTCCACTTCAGTGTCTGAGTGTTAGAGTCAATAAGAACCAAGAGCTTCAACTGTCATAAACTTAATTAACAATTCCAGCCCAGAGCCTCTTTTTGTTGCATCTAGGCCTACATCCCTTCCCAGCTTTTTCAAAACAAACCTATGATTAAACCTGCTTCAAAGACAGAGATTATTCTAGGAGATAATTATCAAACATTTTACACATCTCATACTTACAGCTAAATGCAAAGGACTTTTCGTAGCTGCAGAATCAGATTCCTCAAACATATTGTTGGTTTTTTCCAGAAGCTAAAAATAAAAAATAAAAAAATAGACAGTCTTAAAACATCTTTGTAAGAGACAGGGTAAGTTCTCATGGACTATAAATCAGCAGAAAAAGATATATTTTGTCCTCAGATGTCCGCAGTGAGTATTGAAGGACTGTGAGGAATAAATACTTCACAACCTTTTCTGTATTTTCAAGTTTTTCCCCACAGGGTAAAATTATTAAACTAGATTAAAAGCTTGTTATAAACATCCTTACCCTGATTAATTAGTTTCCCTGAAATCATAGGGCCTGCTTGGGTGAGAAAGGAGCCGTCAAAAGGAAGGATTTGTGGAACAGAGCCCTCAGTAAGTTTACATTGGAAAAAGCGCAGTTTCGTGATTACACAGGTAATGCATATGCAAGCCATGTCAGATACAGCGTTTCAGATAATTCTGACACATAATTAGCACTGGGAATAATTATAACTGAGCTGTGAGTCATTCACAGTCATTTTTATAATTTGTCACAGTAGAACCTGCTGCTATAACAGTCTTCCAAAACACAATACATCCTTGAACTCTTACAAACATCTAATAACATGCATCGTACTTTTCTATGATCCTCTTCATTTCAAGGGATCCCAAAGCATTTTAAGGCTTAACAAGCAGAGCATTTCTGTCCATCTAGAAGGAGGAACTATGGATTAGCACCACTCCACAATAGCACGTGAACCCTGACAACTTATCCAGTTGAGGCTGCAAAGAAAATCATATACAGTATTGACGACAATATTGAGAATTCAACATTTGTTGAGTAGCACTGCTCATAAGTGTGGCCTTTTACTTAATAACTACTCAAAGAATTAGTCTCCAAATACCTTTGTGACTAGAAATCAGCATTTTACAGAAAATTCGTAATAGGAGATTGTAAAAAGGAAAGAAAAGGATGATGGTTAACTACAACTGACTTGTAATGTTTCTAAGGTTACAAGCCAATTTTTCACACAGGCTTTTTGAGGGTTTTTTTGACAGAATTAACTAAAAGACTGCAAGAGGAAAAGAGGAAAGGAAGTTTTTGTGACAATATGGACAATTCTAGGGTATGACACCATGGAAGACCCTCCAAAAAGCCAGTGAAAGCCTATGGTAGGCACAGAATTTACCTGCCTACGCTGCAAGATGATGGCATATCCTAAACTCTGAGGTATGCTTGAATTTTCAGTGTAACAAATTAGTCTTTAATAGACCTACATCAAGGCCAAATTTATCCAAAAATCAAACTGGAATACAAGCTAGTATTAATAATTTATAAAATGTCACAAATCTCTTATTACAAGGACACTGATTTGAATCCTATGGAAAAGCTAGAAAATTAAGCAGTAATTTTGTTTGTTTGTATATTTTGTGCCTAGTAAAATGTCAGGACTGGGAAAAGAAGTGCGTGTTGATCCAAATAGGACTCCTAAGCAAGTGGGTATGTGTATTAACAGGTAATACAGATTTTAACACATCCCTGCAGCTAAGGAAAAAACATCAAGTCCCACACCAGTTTTTCAGTAGGTTTGAGGCAGGGTTAGAAAACACATTTGGTCTTACCACGTGGAACCACCTCCAGTTTAAAATACTGTTCTTCTCTTATATAAGATAGCTATAAACAGGATGAAGCAGCAGCACCTCTGAACACATGAATACATTCCGATTTTCTCTAGTGAGTAAACAAACTAAAAAAAACCCACCAAACCAACGCAAGCACTAAGCCTGTTCCTCTGCCTGCCTAATCCTGGCCTTTACCCTGAGTCTGTGAAGCCAGCATAGCAGACTAATTTAATCACTTTTAATTACATTTATTATCATCTATTGAAACTCCAGAATCAAAATCTTAACATAGAAATACTTTCCTTAACCTGTCAGAAGGCTCCAAAAGTCTCCTGGAACAAGGTAGGTAATTGTCTTTTGACAAAATTAAGGCTCTAAAGGAATACATTGTGGGATTGGAGAGGCCCTCACAAAAGGCAACTCCAGGGCTTAGAGTTAAAGCAGCTTAGGTTGATGCAGACTAGGCTTAATGAGCTTATTACTCATAAGGCTGAATGTCTCCATCATAAAGTCAAGCGCAAACAAGAATTTGATGGTAAACCTGGTAGCTCTCAGACACATCACCAGACAGTGCAAGAAGAGAAATTATAAAGGAGAGCAAGAAGAGGAAGATTAAAGACGCAGTACTAATAATTTTTTTAGCATGCCTTGTTAAGCACCGCTTTGTAACGATTAAAAGTAAGTCATCTGAAGGATTAAACATCATGCTCAAAGAGACAAAAAGGACCAGGTCCAAGTTACCAAGCAAATTCTCCAGTTTCACCAGTGTTTCTATAGTTCTAAGAATGCATTTATAGTAAATTACATACACTTATTGTAAGAACACATAAAACAGTGTGTCCTTGGGGAGCTCTAGCTCCAATAATGCTTCCATCTCATACCTGTAAGAAGCTATCCACAGATGCATCTTTTTAAAAAAGGTGAATGTATTGCTCAGAACCATTTGCCCTGACAGCCGTGGAAGCTTAAATCCACAGACCCTGCAGAGCAATCCAAGCGTGTCTGCTGCACGGCAACACACACCTGCCTGCTAGAAGCTGGCCAGTGCATTTCCCTGAAGACAGACAAATAGGCATGAATTAATAACTTTATGGTTACTGGTGGCTGACTGGAGAATGTCCCAGCATATCTAATTTCTAATTTCTTGTGCCATTGAAAGTATGCCTTTTAGCTGATTACATTTCTACATACTGATTGTCTGCATGTCAGAACTGTGCAGGGACACTGCAAATGAAATGGGTGGGCACGGGTTCTCTCCGGTTAGGTTATAACCTTTTAAAAGGTAAGGATACCCTTACTTCTCTTTGTGCCTCTTGGAAATTCCCAGCACAACCCCTCCGCTTCCCATAACAACGCTATTTAATACCGTATGTAATCATTTTGTGAAGTCTTTTTTCACACACAGAAGCAGGAACTCAAATGCTTTGGGAGTGAGATGCAAAGTAAGATAAAACATGTCAATTATTCAGTTCTATTGTTACCAACTAATAGCACTACAAGGCTGCTATTGGAAACTGTCTTCTCTCCCCCAGCTCTGTATGATGATTAATAACATTTACAGTTCTCACAACTTTATTTTATTTGCATGGTAAAGGTATTTACAGACATAAGAGGCTTTACTGCTTGATTTTATTCTGTGGTTATAATAAAGGATTACATGGGAGGATACAGTATGAGGGGTTCCCCCCCCCCCCCCCTCTTACTTTTTTTTTTTTTTTTTTTTTTCTTTTTTTTTGAGTCAGATGTGCCAGTGAATGAGTCAGGGTAGTTCTTATGATTCTCCTTATAGATCGTAATTTAGTCTAAAATTCAGCTCTGGTTAAAAAAAAAAAAAAAGCTTCATGGAGCATCTCAGTAATTTAGAATTACCATTAGGCAGAAAAGGAGATAATACTTTCATCATGCATAAAAGGTTTAATCTACGCTTTTAAAAGGAAGATGTCAGAAGCAACTTCTAACCACAGACAACGGAATGATGGGTGCTATCTCAAATCCTAAAAGAGAACAGAACACCTGATTCTGTACAAGCTGTCACGCACCCACACCTCTAGGCACAGTCACTGAAGCGTGCTACTGGCAGTTGTGTCAGAGGTTTGATCCAAGTACCACTGAAGTCAAAGCGAGTTTTCCTTGAGATTTTTCCTATTTTAGTAAGGCAATTTCTGCATTCCAAGACACATACTTCCAGCACTGTTAATGAACTTCTTGGGTTTGGTGCTATTAATACCAGTTATAAAATGGCAAAACATTAGATTACATGTGTATAATCTACAAATGGCCTTTAGTCTGAAAGCTTATTAAGCAAACAGCGTTCAGAAATTTTCACACATGCTAAGAGCTGATCAAAAGGCAATTAAGACAAAAGAAAGAGTGGAACATTACTCCTCTGCAATAATGACATAGCCATGTAGCTTATCACTTACAAGGTCATTCAGAAGTGGCAATTAGTAACAATTTTTAATGTCACTTTCAGAACTGAATAAAAATGTATCAGCCAGGATGTCACTTTGAGTCTCATCTTTCCTGATAAACTGCAATAGATAATTGCCTCTACTGGGGGAAAACATAACAGCATCAGCTTCTTTTAAATAAAGGTTTTTCCTGCAAGCAGCAAGCACAAGATTAAAGACTCTCATCAGTTGTTTCAGATGAGATAGAAAAGAGTAATAGAATTAACCTCTGTACTACTTTATACCAGGGAAGCACATTTTTAAATCACAGAATTATTCTTGACTGAATAATTCAAAGGTGAAGTGGTACAAACATATCCTCAGGGGGGACAAGCAATCTGATAAGCTCTCTCCATATCTGTAAATTGGTTAAAACCAATACACATCCTCAACCCGGTGTCTGATATGTTTTCCTAAAATCTGGCTTTAAAAATTAGATTAATCAGTGTTTACATCAATTTCACTCATGTGCATAGATTATGGGTGAAGTGAAAATAACATAAGCAAGAAGTTTTGCAAGAGCTTAGGTAGACTGAATCTGAAGAAATTTATCAGTAGTTCCATGCAACTTTTCCAGTACAAAGCTTAAATACCCAATACCCTGTCAGAACAGTCACCACCGTGCAAACAGGACACTTACCTGGCATATAAGAGAACAACATTCAAGTCTTTAAACATATCTAAACCTCAAAATTCAAGCAGACCTCCAGGCCACTGGCTGTTCTCACATGGGACACTAATCTTCTGTTGAAGCTCTTCCACTTCATGCAAAATAATTTCGTATTAAGTCATATGAGTGCCATACTCAGTGGGTTATACAGGAGATTCTCACCCAATGAGTATTTATACGAAGCAGGACAGCTCCAAACGAGAGCGAGAGATCCTACCCAGTATCAGCCAGCATAACATGGTGGTCACTTCCTGGGATGAGGAAGTCCAAGTTCTTTGTCAGTCAGGGCAGAGATGTGAACCTGGAACTTTCGCACTAGAAACATG